CCAGCATGCTCAGTACAACTCTGTCTGTAGAGGCAAATATTAACTAGCAACTGTATTATTTTAACATGTAAACAGGCAGCCAGAATCACAAGTTGACAGTGGTCGTTCAACTGACACATTTCGTTTCTACACACAATTACCTAAACAGGATCATTTATTATAAATCACAACTGACAAGGCCAATTTTGAACATTACACCTGGTTCACTCACACTAGTGATTTGTGGGCTGAAATGTGTTTAAAGAAAATGCAAATAAAACATCTTTTTTGGGCTTAATCTGCAAGGATGGTTGTAAACTGCCATTCAACACCGCACTCATTCATGCCATAGCAGCATGGGCCAAATGCCATGCACATTTATTCTTAAAAATCTTTACAGATTTGGTTCTTTACCACCACTTTAATAATAATAAATAATAATAATAAAAAAAAAAACAATCCTACTTTTGTTGAAATGAATAGCAATTGTGCAAAGCTGTAAGCTGGAGACTTTATGGTGTCTAGAAAACAACTAAAGTACTTGTATTGTTTTGTACCTCATGATCTCTAACATCACCTACAGTGATTTGTTTCATGACTGTTGGTAGCTCTTGTCCTTCAGTCTAATTGACAAGGTTTGATCAGAGTGAAGAAAGGCACAATACAATGAATAATACCACCAAAAGTATATTTAAATATAGCATAAATAGGTTAGTGTAGGTTTGCAGTTTGATGTAGTAATGAAAGGGAAAGTGTTAGAAGACTTGTAAAGATCACAACTTCTTGACTAATCTCTAAAACTGTGGCAGTGATACTCGTACTCCTTTCCTAGTGAAAAAAACATTCAATTCGTTTTTCTCACATTTGAGAGAAATGCGCAGGTCCTTGATGTATTCTATAAAATAGTTTAAAATAATCTTAATATTCTGGCAGGTATCGTGCAACACGAGCAGTCATACAAAAGAAAAACACATTTCATACACCCCCCCCCATGGCATTCACACAAATAAAGGCCTTCATTTTTTTTATGTTACTTGTTCAACTTCTTTCCAAAAACGGTTTTATGTTCTTCCTGTCATTCATACTCACACACTCAGATGTGTCAATTCCACCCCTGTGAAAAACAAAAGTGCATTTCTATTTCATGGACAACCTCTCAAACACATCTATTTAACTTGGACCTGGGTTTTGAGTTTGGTCTGCACTTCACATTTTAAAAAGCAATACACTGTAGAGAGTCAGTGCCAAGTGGGGAAAAAAACTGTGCAGAATGTAACATTTGTTGCATTTATTGGGGAATCGTTTCACAGGAAAAGTGCTTTTAGAAGAAAGTAACAACAGATTCCATTGTAGGCAACTTCACATTTAAGTTCTTTATGTTATTTCTGTTAAAGTGCAAAAAGTTTTAGGTTATGGACCAAAGTCAGATTTGTGTATCAGGTCTGAATCCTGAATTTTAGAGCAAGGCACATCTGCAGATGAAAGAGTGCATTGGCTCTTCATCTACTTCACATTCCATCAAATTAAAAGTGCAATTTAAATAGATATCTTGTTCAAAGTGCACTGAAAATAAGGTCCACTATTAGAACTTTAGAAACATACATATGAGCTTTCCATTAATGCTGATACATACTTGCTACTCAGTACGTGTTTGAAATATTCCTATGAGTTTCATATCAGCATCCCCTCTGGCTCGTGTGCAGACCAAACTCAGCCAGGTCCTCGTCTCAATGTAAAATATTCTAGGTGAAGCAGGTTGTCCACACTTTATCCTCAATCAAGGATGTGCTCTCCACGGACGATATGTGAAGAAAATTCATAGCGGTCCTGACTTCGGTGGCCACAGATGTTACACTCAAAAGGCTGACGAAAACCGTGGCAGCCCATGTGGATAGTAAACATAACATGGTCCAGAAAAAGCACACGGCAATGCTCACAACGAAAAGAGCGCACAGCCCGCCCTTCTCCATCTACAACTCGAAAAGCCTCCCTGGACGTGGAGGAGGGTGCTGTAGGGGAGCTGGGAGTTGGAGCAAGGGAAGGAGGTGGGGGGCCTGGGCGGCCCCCATCCTCTCTGTCCACCTCCCTGTCTTTGGCGTGGCTGGGGCTCTGTCTGTCCCGACTCCTGTGGTGTGCAGTGGACGGAGGTGCTGGGTTATGATTGTTGGGGTGCAGAAGATAATGGCTGTTGTTACTGTGCAGACTTACAGTTGGAGCAGTACTGTTGCATGGCTCATCTGGCATGCTCTCTGTGTCTGTAGAGTCTTGGCAACCATTGCTAGGTGAGGGTGCATGACTTTGACCAGCAGGTGGGTCTTCATGACCCTCTGCAGCCTCCCTTCCCACTACACCTGCAGCTCCCAGCCCAACTCCAGTCCCTGTGCAATCCAGCCTCAGGCCTAAAACGACGGGGGTATGCGAGGAGTTGTGCACTGGCCTGAGCTCTGATAAACATGAAGCATGAGTGGTGGGATGGTGTAGAGGCCTTAGTGTGTCTGATATACCTCCTCCATTTCCTGCTATGCCTGCATATTCTCCTCCCAGACCAGTAAAGTGTGGTGCTTCAAAGTCCCCTCCGTGCATCTCCCCATCTTTATCCAAACCAGCACTGAGCTCATAAGGTGCATCTCCGAGGTTGAGGCGTATGTGCTTCTGTCCTGCAACAGAGAGATACAATCTTATAATATTGTACAATTAAAGTCTGTGGAAGGCATCACAACAGCAAATATATTAACATTTGAAAAACTCATCCAGATAACTGAACAACTTGCCAAATTTTTTGAGGTCCTCTGAATACCATGATGACACTTACAGTCTTATGCAAAAGTTTAAGCTTAAAACCATCAAGTTTTAGCTTTGTTTTTGTTGTTGTTGTTAAATGACTCAACTAAGCTATAGCAAATTATAGAACTTGGGTAAAAATGAAAAACATCCTAAAAACTGGTGGTTACATTTTTAGGATAAAAAGAGGAGTCCTAAGGCACCTGGTATGCAATTCAAACAATGAATGCTGCTTTCTGAGTTTTCTCGAACTGTCTACACAGAGCCCAGATGCTCACCTACAAATTTTTGTGGTGTGGACCTCTTGCGTTTGGTGGTGATGTTGGTAAGCCGATCGATAAATGTCATCTTGTCTGAGGAGGGCTGTAGCAGAGAGTCTGGTATAAACTCTAGCTCTCGCATCTCCTCTCCTGCACAGAGTACAAACAAACTGTAATGTCATTTTTTGGGGTTGTCTTATTGCTCAGACAGTATTTATCTCAAATGTTCAAACTATATGCTGGTTTTCATTAGAATCTAAACCACCTTTTGGATATACAGGAAAAATGACTGTAAGTGAGGCATTCTGTGCACTACCATGTTAAGGAGCCACACTACATTTTTATATTAGACACTGATACAATCCTTTAGAAACTGATATTTACACCACCATATTGTGATTTAGATTACTGTCTTATCTGACAAAATGTTAACTTCAGGTATGTCATCTCCATGAATTTTATGAAACACATACCTAGATTCTGTGCACTGGATAGCTGCTGTGACTCCAGACTCTGTAAGTAGCTGTGGCATCGCTCACGGTGCTCCTCTAGGGTGCTCTGCTGTTTGTAACTACGGCCACAGTAATTGCACTTATACGGTTTCCCTACCGTTGGAGCGGACACTGAGGGTACAGCTTTGAAATTGGCATTTACCAATGACAGCTGTTGCTGTGCATCAGATCTAACGAGCTGATTAAGGTCTGATACCTTGTGAGAGACTTTGAGACTCTGGAACTCTTAGGGTGCCCAAACTTTTGCACCATGCCATAATAATGTTTTTATTTTTTATTTTTGTTCAATTTATGGCATAAGAAGTAACTATGCATCACTGTTTGCTGAAAATATTGTGCATTTTTTCCATTTCCAAGAGAAACTGTGTTAACATCTGTTCAAATAAAAAATCACCAAAATCTGTTATTTATCAAGGGGTGCCTAAACTTTTGCATAAGACTGTACTTATGTCACTGTTAAGCTTAAAACCATCAAGTTTTAGCTTTGTTTTTGTTGTTGTTGTTAAATGACTCAACTAAGCTATAGCAAATTATAGAACTTGGGTAAAAATGAAAAACATCCTAAAAACTGGTGGTTACATTTTTAGGATAAAAAGAGGAGTCCTAAGGCACCTGGTATGCAATTCAAACAATGAATGCTGCTTTCTGAGTTTTCTCGAACTGTCTACACAGAGCCCAGATGCTCACCTACAAATTTTTGTGGTGTGGACCTCTTGCGTTTGGTGGTGATGTTGGTAAGCCGATCGATAAATGTCATCTTGTCTGAGGAGGGCTGTAGCAGAGAGTCTGGTATAAACTCTAGCTCTCGCATCTCCTCTCCTGCACAGAGTACAAACAAACTGTAATGTCATTTTTTGGGGTTGTCTTATTGCTCAGACAGTATTTATCTCAAATGTTCAAACTATATGCTGGTTTTCATTAGAATCTAAACCACCTTTTGGATATACAGGAAAAATGACTGTAAGTGAGGCATTCTGTGCACTACCATGTTAAGGAGCCACACTACATTTTTATATTAGACACTGATACAATCCTTTAGAAACTGATATTTACACCACCATATTGTGATTTAGATTACTGTCTTATCTGACAAAATGTTAACTTCAGGTATGTCATCTCCATGAATTTTATGAAACACATACCTAGATTCTGTGCACTGGATAGCTGCTGTGACTCCAGACTCTGTAAGTAGCTGTGGCATCGCTCACGGTGCTCCTCTAGGGTGCTCTGCTGTTTGTAACTACGGCCACAGTAATTGCACTTATACGGTTTACCTACAGTTGGAGAGGAGACTGAGGAAGAATCATGATTATTAATGCCTCAACATGTGTATATTTAATTGAAAATCTTACTCATCAGGCTTGATTCTGTCCTACCTGCATGAGTGCGAAGATGACCAGTAAGCGCATCTCGTCTTCGACAGGCATAGCTACAGAACGGACACTTAAAGGGCTTCTCCCCTGAGTGCAGCTTGATGTGGCGGAGCAAATTACCTTTTTGTGTGAAGGAGGCACCACACTGATTACATTGGAATGGTCGCTCACCTGGGGGTAGATCAAACCTGTCAGCCCAACTTCTCTAAATACATTTAGTGTCTAGCATAATCTCTTAACACCCAGATCCATCTGATAAAGTGGACTCAGAACAACTTTTTTACCCCGCTCATCATAATTAATGGTCAGTTTCAAATACATTTGCACAAACCAAGTTCCATCTCTGCAATACTAATGCGGATATGGAACTTGGTTTGTGCTGTTCTAATGATTCCACTTTATCAGATGGATCTAGGTGTTAAGAGATGCATTAGTAATATTTGGAAAATGTTACTAATGCAAATCTTGTTTTCCCCATTTTTTTTAACTGCATTGTATCAACAAAAAAAAAAGTCAGTGTAGCAGGGCACACATCAAATGTATGTGCAAAAAGATGTCTCTAAGACAATCAAAATGTATGTTTCAGTTAAATGACAATATTCAAGATAATTTCTTTAAACTAATTTCTTTGACAAAAAGCATAGGCACAAAAGCATATTAATAGATGATCTAAATTATACTGATCAGTCACCTGTATGGCTGCGTTTGTGCACCATGAGCACATTAGGTCCAATGCAGATCATTCCACAGACATCACACTTGAGCTTTCCATTTGGCAGTCTGGTGGCTCCAGTTGGCATTGTTTCAGGACTGGTGAGCTCCCTGTAGCCTCCGACAGCCTCAGAGCCTTGCTCCAGGCCTCCTTCCTCTACCCGCTCCCCTCTTTCCTCTTTAGTACTGCGAGCTAGGTCTTCATCACTGTACAACTCCACTTTAATGGAGTTGGCTATAGAGGTACAAGTGCAAAAATAAAGAAGGCTTTCAATGAGATAATCTATCAACAAGCATATTACCAGACATAACAAACACAGATAATAGAATGAGCATATCTTTTTACATGTCATTACTTGAGTGATGAGAGTAAGGTGTCTCAATAACTTAATCTCAGATTGACATGGACAGATTTATTAAGAGCAATCTGAATAATAAAACAATTTGCTCCCCTTTGCACAAGGTTTAAAAGCATTGTAATTCACAGTAAATGTCACAAGCGGTTCCATTATACATAATGGCAGTTGTTAAATATGTGAAATTACAATTTGGCACTTTGATTAACCATTACATAATCAATTTTTGGGATTCACAATTATTTTCTCACTGACCACTTAGGGAGCGACTAGGAGAGGTCTCTTTGCTGTTGGGAGTGCTCACTATTGGACCTCCAAGGGCCCCAGAAAACTCTCTTTCCATTGACGAGTCTCCACTAGCTGCAACCAACAGAATACACAAACAAGAGTTATCTGAACAACATGCCAGCCTTTGAAGACATTTATATCCGATGCAAAAACCAAAATCCTACCTGATATGTAAGACCGGCCATTGCAGTCATCGACATCCATACTAGTTCAAACCGAATACTGAAATAACAGTTAGGTCAAAGGTTAAGATAAGGTGAGTTTTCTCTCACACACCCAAGCACTGATTCACTCATACATAACTGAACATAAATTACATGTCCGCAACCTTATTTGAAACAACAAGAAAAATTCAGTAGTGATAGGTAACATCACATCATGAAAGGAAAAAATATGTACGTTAAATTAATTTAATACTGATAACGAAAATAACTATAAGCTAAATGACATCAGACACTTCTAATCACCAAAACTAAGAAAACACTAAAACCTAGCTTGACTGTTTGCTAACCACCGTTAACCTTTTGGTGCAATTTAGGTAACATTAAGGCCATGGATTCTGAACAGCACCAATATTTAAGTGCAACACTGTGCAAGCTTTGACATAGTAAATGTGCTAAGGATTCGCTGGTGTGGGTTACCAAAAAATAGTTAACTGGCAGCTAAGTTAGCGCCAACTTTAACCTTAGCAGCCAACAACTAGGCTGACTCATGACAGCACTGATAAAGTAACTTAATGTTACGTTAATCTAACGTTAGGCTCATCTGAGACAAATCAGTATGAGATTCAGCATAACGCTTGCGTTGCCAACAATTATACAGCGCTGGTGTTGAAGTATAAACTTCACGAGTCGGCCTTGGTGGCTAACATTAGCTTACTGCATGTGATGGAAATTACCGTTAGCCAAGTTAGCTAAACTCAACATAACGTTACAACAGTTTGCCATTCTCGACAGCTTACTGAAAAGCATGGAGCAAAGTTACAGCATGTAATATGGGTGATGACCCAAAGGTGGATAACGCTGACTTTAAACATTAATTGGCTAACACACTAAATTGGCTATCCAAGTCTCTACGACTCCTTGTTTAACGCTAACATAACAAACCTACGCTAGCCTGAGCAACCTTGGCTAGCTCACCCCCACAGCTGGTGTTTCCTAAACGGTTGCTATGGCACCCACCGCCTCCCAGAATGCTATGGTTAGCCAGCTAGTGGTTAGCTAGCTAGCTAACGTGCTCTCCCTGAAGACTGTAAGATGACTTTTACAACAAAACACAGTGAAGACAGGCAACTATAAAAATACTTTTTAAAACTCATCCAATTTTCCAAGTAACTATCGCATTACCTGTCCCCCAGGGCCGTTTCAGTGAGGTTATTCTGTATTTTCATCTGCCTGTTTATGACGGTAGCATCTCCCGGCAGCGTTTACCTCCAGCTTCAAACTATTTCCGGTTGGTCTCAAATACAACTGTCTATCAATCCCCAGCACTGAGTGGACTTGGATAAACTTAACCTCTAGAGTCCTGAGCTTTGGAAACCCAAGCTGTGCGGTCCTCATATGAGGACGCAGGGACTCTAGAGGTTATTTTATTCAGCACATACACATGTAAACAAACATCAATAACATGAATGCACTTTATAGTGACTGATTAATTGAGATTATTTTGTACAGCTTTTCCAGTTGATAAGTGGCATGGATATTGTTTAGAGCTGCAGTAGTCTAGTTGATTGTGTAGACATATTTATATTGAACCACACCTTATTATCACTATAAGATTAGAATTATATTTCCAAATATTTGAAAATTTAAATGCATATTCTCTGCTTAGCCAATAAACACTAAAGTAGTCACTAAATGCTTACCTTGCCTTGTCTCATTGGAATTGTGAATTGTTAGTTCTACAAAAGAGCAGTGTCACATATAAACTTTTCAGATTGTTTCATTTAAATAACTGGTCAAAAGTAGAAGAAGTAAAATAATCTGATTTCACAACAAAGGAAAGATTGGAGAAGTCCAAATATTAATACAAATATGTGGAGCTGAATATTATTTTTGCATCAACCTCTACCATTAATCATCTCAAGGCCCCCCAGATTTATCTTGAGACCCTTAAAAGGGACTGTTGAACCTTTACAGTAAGTTGAAAACAAATTAACTGAAATATTTAACCTCATATAAAGTAGTTAAAAGTAGCTACATTTTGACCAGCTACAGTAAATGCTGCTTATGCACGGATCCATAATGTCATATATTATTACACAAGCCATTTTCAAGTTCTTTACTTTTGATGTTTAAATTAGCCTGCATTTTACAAATAATACTTTGCTACTTTTTCTTAGGCCTAGACTTTTTGGTACTTTCACTTCAAATGGTGTACAGTATATAATACTTAGCAAAGGTTTTGGGCACTTTAAATATCTATATTCTCAACCATCAAACAATACCATCAGGGGTGCATACAGTCAAATTCGTTTTGCAGCATGACATTTTCCCCAAACATAGGCTACAGAGTTGAAAAGAACTATGGTATTTTCACTGACAAGAAAATAGAACAGGACACAAGAAACTGTCATCAAATGTAAGAGTTGGTGCTGTTTCTAAGGGCAAGGGTGGTCGCAGCTAACATTGATTTGACTTAGTTTTTTGTGTTTACTACATGTTGTATAAAGTAGGAATATATAACATATGTTCTTGACCATATTTTTCAAAGCCTTATCTCTTAATATTTAGTACCTAAAACATTTTCATAGCCTATAACCCGCATTAATATAGCCTATGGTTACTTTTTCTTCTGTTCAAATGAGGTTGTGGCTGAACACCTTTTTGTTTATATTTAATAACTCATATTGTTATATAACTAAAACAATCCAAACCCACGTATGCTGATATCAAGGACTGTAAATATTCACTGGTGTTTCTGGCCTGAACGTCAGTCTGGAAAAGCCTAAAGGATGGTAGTGAGAAAGCTGCGTGAACGTACAAAGACTGACCTCTGCTGTACAAAGTGGCCAGAAAGCTCTTCTCTGCCAGGTCTGACGTATCCGTTCGGTTTACGACGGTGTGTGCTTACACAATGACAGTTTCCGTCAGTTTAACTAGCGAATTGTAACCGCGCTGAACAAGCTCTTTGTCGTTTCTAACTCCAGTTTAAACGAGAATTTCATCATTTTGAACTATCGATCGGTATCGATTACTATATCAGATACGGAGAGAGACCGTTTTTTTTTAGATAAGTACAAGTAGTACTTGCTGTAGTTAAACTTTGAACTTTCAGCTAGAGGCCCAGTGGAGAGCTCGAGCGGCGGCTTCGAAAAGTTTGTTGTTGTCACGTGACGCTAGACGAATGCGGCGATAAAAGTTTGTTTAGCTAGATAGTAAAACTAGGTGGCGTACTACATTATCAGACCCCAGTTGAACACCGCTTTCATCACAATGCCTCAACCAAAATATCGAAAGATTGCTGTTTTAGGTTACAGGTCTGTAGGTGAGTAAAGCACACAAGCTCGCGCACAGCTAATGTTATTCGGCTAGCTGGCTAAGAGGCTAACGTCCTGGCTTTGTTTTCCTCCTGAGTGTATCTGAATCACACCAATGACGCTATTTTATCTTTGTCCGCGTTTCTTTGCGTTAGTTACATGTTTTATTCTGGGCAGTTTGTGCCCGATCTTCTCCCAAAATCAGTCATATCTTACTGTGTAGTTGCAGCCATATGTTACTAGTTGTAAAGTGTTCTGTGAAAATAAATATAGCTCAGCCGGTAATATGCTGGTAGAGAGCCAAGTGGTGTGTGTATCTAAACTTTGTTTTGGTATGTCAGACGTAAGTATGTAAAGTCCAGAATATAAGAACGGCCTGTAACCATATTTAACTTTATATTATCTGAACACCAATCGTTTATATTATAAAATCCCTCTGTGTGTCCAGTGTTGCACCAGCTTCTGTGACCCAGTTAGCACATCATCTGTATTGGCACAGCAACAGGTTTTTTTTTTTAATATTCTAATAATAAATTATTTGTATTCCTCTATAATATTTAGATAAAGTAACACATTTTGACTGCTGCAAGTAAATAAATAAATAACTTCATATATACATCAAGAGTCATTAAATGTATGTGGTATAAACATTTTTTTTCATGACAGTATAGTAGAAATTCCCAGTCAAGTCACAGAAAATGATGTAACACTTAACTGATGTGTTAAATGTGTTGAAATGTTTTGTTTCATGTAAACTGGCATAGAATTTGTGTGATTTACTATTGTGTTTTTTTAATGTAGAGGATTATAGTGGAAAGTTTTGATGGTTTTAACAATTCATTAAAATAGTAGGAATACAACCATGTAATGTTTCTTTGCCCTGCACAGGAAAGTCATCTCTTACAATACAGTTTGTGGAAGGACAATTTGTTGACTCTTACGACCCCACCATTGAAAACAGTAAGTATTAGAATTGCAAAAGATATTGCTGATCAAGGTAAATCTCAATGAATTTTGTTTAATATAAGGAAATGTAAAACAAATTCATCTTGTTTCCCAGCCTTTAACAAAATGGTCAATGTGAATGGTCAAGACTTTAATCTTCAGTTGGTTGACACAGCTGGACAAGTAAGTTATTCATGTACAACCATAAGTGATAGAAACACTGAACTCTTAATCAACTTTTTTATGTATTAAATCCCATTATTTAACTTTAGGCATTGCTGTTAATTCGGGGTGTGACGATACACTTAACCCACGAGATGAGATGGTACACAATACTGGATTCACAAGAGCGAGACAAGACAATATTTTAACACTTTTTAAGAAATCTTCAATGATGAAATATGACTGGAAAAATAATCATTTGACAGAAAGTGCCAAAATGCAAAACAATACAAGTGCATTTTGAAATGTTTTAACTGATCCTTCATTTCTACTTTGAGTATGAATTATATGCAGTAAAAGACAACAATATGCAAGTACTGCAAAACGTTTTGCCACAAACTCAACTGACTGGATTCTTTCCTGTATGATTTCACATGAGTTTCTTGGTACTTTATAACTGTGCATGAACTGTGCATGAGCTTCTAACTTTTAATTGAAGCTGTGTGTGCCCTTCTTACTGTTATGCTATTTTCACCCTTACCACACCACACTGGATGATGACATCATTTGCCAAAGGCTCTGTGTTGACCAATCAAGTAGAAATATCATGTTTTAATATCGCAAGATCTTGTGGCACAAGATGTCGTCACACCCCTACTGTTAATTTCAAGTGTACTTGGATTTCACGTTGTTAAATTGTGTATTTGTTGTTTTGTACCAGTTGTACTCAATGAGGATATAATTCCACCCCTTTTTCTAGGATGAGTACTCAATTTTTCCACAGTCCCACTCAATGGACATCCATGGCTATGTCCTTGTCTATTCAGTGACTTCCATGAAAAGGTGAGTAGACGGGTGTGTTTTATTCATCTGTGGATGAAATGTTGGATACACAGCTAAACGTCTTAAAGCTCTACATTAGGTAGAAAACACTGTGTGTCTTACAGCTGATAGCAGCATTGTGTTTTAACATATACAGGTTTTACAGATTCCTAGCACATTATTCCTAAACCAAATAGATTTCTAAGGGTTGGAACCTCTTATATATTCCAACACAATATTGGTGCTTTATTCATCTGTAAAGATTCTGTATAATAGGGTTCTTGAACTGGCAGATTAGTTAGTATTAAGTAACATACAGGTTAGAGGTACATACTGACTACTCAGTTCAGTATTTTAAAGTACTTTGATGTCTCTCTGTTTAGTTTTGAAGTTGTGCAGGTTCTACATGACAAGCTGCTAGACATGGTTGGGAAGATTCAGTAAGTATAGTTGGTTTTTTTGGATTTTTAAAATTCAGCTTTTTCATAATTGTAATATTTGCTTTTCCAAGGGATTCTGGTCTTGTTTCAACCACAATGTTTTCTTTTTAGGGTTCCAACTGTTCTTGTAGGTAACAAAAAAGATCTTCACTTGGAAAGGTAATCAAAATGATCAAAAGTTTTCAGAATATAAACTAATAATATTGTTTCTATCACATATCAAAATACACTACACAGCAGCACTCAGGATAATTCAGCAGTAAATACTTGTTAAATGGCAAAAATAGCCCTTTCTTGTTTTGCCGAGGATAAGTTTGGTGATATTCTGCATGCTTCTTAGTGTCAACAAAATCAACAATTAATTGATAAAAGCTAACAATTAATTCTCAGCAGGTTTTACCTGTGTTATCAGAGCCTGATTGAGCTTATTTTTCTGTGATGTTTACTGCAGTTTTTGTCCCAGAAACTATTAAATACACATCGATGAGCCACACTGTTGCACTGAGTGCATATTCCTTTGTTAGGATGGGCATACAGTGTATTTATTTTAATCCCATGTACCGGTACACCGTCCTGCTTCCATAGGTACTCGGTAGAGCACGGAATATGAGGCTCAGAGTTGTCCCAACCAATACACTGTTTACCCCGTTTGACTAACATTTGCCAAAAACTAAAGTGGCAGGCTGTTATAGGAAATTACTTTTTTAAATTAAATTAAATTAAAAGTAAAGTACATGGAGTATATGTGACCTGTTTTTTAACATCTTCAAGTGGAACATCTGTAACTGAGAGCCACAGCCAGGCTGGAGAAACCTGAAAGTATTAAGAGCTGGACTAACACATTGTTGGGTTTGGTCTTTTTGTCAAATGTATTGACGGTAACAAATATAGAATATTGCCAGTTTTTTTTCCTTAAATGAAGTCCCACATACTTTTCTTGGTCTCTGTCAACTTTTGTCACCACCCATTCAAACACTCCTTAAAGCTACAGTATAAAACTTTTTCCAAATATTTTTGTTGAAGAAATATGTTTCAAAACTTGTCTTAATGTAGAGAGGCGCTATCCTGTGACCCAGACTCATTGAGCAGAGATATTAGCTTTTAAAAGGTTTTGAGCGGGACCTCTAACCAATCACAGATTTTAATTTCTGCGTGATCAATAGGTTTTGTTACATTCTCATTTCTTGTAATTTCATAACGACAATTAAATGAAGAGCTGGGCAGAGCATAGCAGATCACAGTAGAGCATAGTGGGGCAGGGAGAGGGATATTGTAGCTGTAAAAAGAGTGCTCTAGGTCTGTGTGTGTGTGTATATGTGTATAAAATGAAAGTTTTATTTTTCATCAAGAAGGCTGCACTGAATTTTCCACAGGGTTATCAAGCCAGAGGAGGGAAAGAAACTTGCTGATTCCTGGGGCGCTGCATTCATGGAGTCCTCGGCCAAGGAGAATGAGGTGATGATAAATGTCTCTTTGAATAGCTTGTCAGCATAGGCCAGATACCATTTCTAACATAGATTTACATTGTGTTCGTTCACTGCAGACTGCTGTTGAGGTTTTCAAGCGGATCATTTTGGAGATGGAGAAAGCTGATGGAAATGCGGCCCCAGAGGAGAAAAAATGTGCTGTTATGTAAAAGTGTATTCAAGACATCAGTAAGCTCATTTGCTGAAGACAGGAGGCACAGCTTCACCAGCTGGCCGATTGTGACCTCACCAAGATCAAGACACTGCAGTGGAACTTTTCTGCTCCGTTGTAATACCAGATTGATTTACACAGCAAGGCAGTTGCCTAGACAGTTGATAAACTATCCCACTCATTGTAACCACAGGGAGAAATTTCTTGCAGCAATATTCATTTTTGTTTTAGATAAAGATGCACTTTCAGTGAACATGTTCTTTAAATATTGAAATGTAGTCCATGACTAGGCAAGAACTTGATTTTTGAATTCAATCAAATGCTGAGAAAACAAGTGAAGATTGACAAACCTTGTTAATTGCATCAAAAGTTTTCACCAATGTATTAGGAATAACTGCTTGGAAGTCTGATGTTTGAGACATATTTGGCTTGTCTCTAAACTCTGAGTAGTTGATGTACAGTGAGGGATGGTTAAAAAACCTTTTTAAGTACAGTTGTATTAATTATTTCAGCAGGTTTTTTTGACAGTGATGCAGTGTCATAGTTCACATTACTTTAAATGTGGATTTCTTACAAGTGGTGGATTTCTTTGAACAGTCTGAAATGAGATTTCACGTAAGAAATTTCGCTGTGGTTTCATAGGTTCTTTTCACTGTAATTTTTATCACCTTATTTTCAGGTACCTTTCACTAATGAACTTTTGAACTGTCTCTTCAGGGGGGAGGAATTTTTTTTTTTCTTTTCATATTTAACAACACATTTTAACCTGTTCTGCTAAGCAGATGGGCCTCTCCCATTGTTTCTACAGTTTAATTTCTCCTTATTCACTGTAATATTATCTTGTGGATGCCCCTCAGAGAAATTTAGTATAGTTTGGAATAGGTCTGTGGCATTTACCAGTTATGGTTATGGCCTTTTTATACAATATAAGTAGAATCTTAGAACTTTGTTTGACTGTTACTGAGTGACCCACATTATTATGAAAATTGTTGAGTTACAATTTGCCTTGTAACACTGCAAGACAATTTAAGTGGCTCAAAGCCATGGAGGTATCATAGTAGTTTTTGAACTCGTGGTTTGAATTGTTGGTTCACACAGGCGTGATCAAACTTGGCCAGGATGGCATTCAGCCCATTTAATTCATATTGTGGACTTGCATGGTCACTGTCAGACACTTAAGATCCTCAACGACTTGTTTAGCTCATGTAGCCTTACGAAAACTGACAGTCTGGATTTTTCCCCTCATAATTCGCATGTTGTACATGTAGTGGATAATTTGAACTTTGCTGAGTAATTCGTTACTTGATGGTGGTTGAACACAAGCTGGTGATGCTGTTCCTTGTGCCTTGCAGTTCTTCAAATTCCCATCTGCTTCCCTTCATGACTTAAGGTGCTTTCCCCCCTCTTCCATGCAGGTGATGGTGTTCACTTGAACACTAATATTAAGTCGATGTTAATTCAAAAATCTTGCTGTAAACAGTTTTGTATATGAATAAATCGGTTACTCATTTGATCTGGTGTGCTTATTTTAGTTGCATTATTTAGGTAGCTAACACGGTTCTGTACCGGAAACAAATTCCTTGTGTGTAACATACTTGGCCAATAAAGGTGATTATCCTTATCCTATGCAGAGCCACCAGTAGCACCGCATTGTCGTTGATGTAAAACAGCTGGTCACTTTTCATTTGGGTAGCTGTAGATGTACATCAAATATGTAGGCAGACATCATTGGTGGTGATTATGGTCAACGTGGTCTGTGGTGCGGTAACACTACATGTACTACGGTAAGGACTGCACAACCATTCAGGTTGCGAGCTGTAGCGGAAGGTCTAGCTGTGCAAGATCCTGACAGTTGTACGCGAACTACAGGGAGGTAATAAGGCGAGGGAAGCAGTATGGAGTGTGTAAGTTATCTCTACTGTAACTTCATCTTGTATAGCTCGGTAGCTTTCTAACAAGCCTGCTTCACCTAAGTTAACTAACGACTCTTCCCCAAGCATGCTAACGATTTCAGCTAACTCACGAATGGTAAAGATAGTTGAGTCTAGCTCGATTGATAGTAACGCTAAGTTAACGTTTGTAAGCCGCTAAGAAGGCACACATCTTGCCCGTCTAGAATGTTAAATTAAATATGGTTTCAACTCAGGTGCCAGCGCAAATATTACTAGATAATAGAAATACCATATATAGTAATGTTGTGCAATATAATGTCTCACCAGGGTAACAGACGTAAAAGGCAAAGTCGAAGTGAAAAGTCACCTCGACGAGTTGAAGTTAACAGACCGACACTAGCTAGTGCTAATATGATGCTAACGATACCATTATGGCCTTATGGTGTCTCGTTGTCTTTGTTACAATGGATACAACTAGTTCTTTGTTGTAGTCTAATGTTTAACAACATGACTGCAGTATGTACACTAACGTTAGTTAGTGGTAGTAACAATATTGTTCAGTAGCTAACGTTACATCCCACAATTGACGTCATGATATATATGAGGCAATGTGCAGTATATTTTGAGTCTCATCCGGTTCTAGGTAGTGGACTTGTCAATTTCGAATTTTACTCAAGTGAAAGTAGCTTACATACATTTTATAGAATGATCCATTTCAGAATAATATTAACTTATACAGTCGGATTATAATTATTTATGTATTAAGAAATTTGATTCTGCAAAGTAATTACTAACTAAAGTTGTCAAAAGAGTAATAAGTACAACATTTACCTTTGAAATGTAGTGGAGTAGAAGTAAATCAGAAGTACCTTGAAATTGAACCTAAGTACAGTACTTCAGTAACTATACCTACTTTTGACCACTGCTTACCACTTAATTTTACCTAAACCCAGCCATCCTAATATGAACCTAAATTGGCAACAGCATTGTAGAATTTGAATGACATAACCTTCAGCTATGTCTGGTTGTGACTGATCATAAACATTTGAAACCTTATGTATATAGCCTTACTGGGTGGGCCAATCAGTTCTTCTGCCAGTAACCCCTGATGGTTGGGGATTATTCAACAAGATTACACAGACTTTTGTATAATGTGCTTTTTGAATGACGGTACTTACCTTTTTACATTTGCTAGTTCTGGACTTTGTCTAGACAATCTGAATATTAATCACTTATATTGTTTTCTTTCAGATACCCATAACTATTGATGATTTTGAGGGAAAAAAGGATGCAGTCATAGAAGGTAGGGGACAGGAATGAATCTTATAAGAGCAAACGGAGAAACAGTGAACGTGTTCTCAGTGGTTTATCTCTTATTGCTTCAGACTCAGAGAAGAATGTGTACACCAGATTTATGAAGTCGCACCGGTGTTATGATCTTGTACCCACAAGCTCCAAATTGGTTGTGTTTGATACATCACTCCAGGTAAAACAAAATCTTTAAATCTAAAAAGAATGTAGTCTTGTCTCTCAATAGCTAATTCGGATGAGAACTTGATGTGGTCTGTTTTTTACAGGTCAAGAAGGCATTTTTTGCTCTTGTTTCTAATGGGGTAAGAGCAGCACCTCTGTGGGACAGTAACAAGCAGTGCTTCGTTGGTAAGAGTAATTTTCATTTCACTCTGTATCACTCTGAGACTAAGTTCAATAATGGACTGATGAAATGCTTCCAATTCTGCTCTGCAGGTATGCTAACCATCACAGACTTCATTAACATTCTTCATCGGTATTACAAATCTCCATTGGTAAGATGTTTACCGCCCTTCTTAAACTGCAAAGTTATATTGGCACAGGTAGAGTTTTAACTACTTTGGTGCTGAATGTGTCCATGCTCTTTTTTTTTTCCTTTGTTTCAAGACCTTGTCTTGACCTCTTTCTTGCTTCCTCTTAAAGACATCAACCCTTCATCTTTTTGTAATCTTTCAGGTTCAGATATATGAATTGGAAGAACACAAAATTGAAACATGGAGAGGTGAGAACTTTAGTGAATATGTCATTTATTCTTCAAGTAACCTTCAAGATAAACTATATTGTGTGTTCTTGTTTATTATAGAGGTGTACCTTCAAGACTCTTTCAAGCCCTTGGTTAACATATCTCCCAATGCAAGGTGAGTTTAAATGCTTGGTTAGCAGTAGTACTGCAAGGCAGCAACATTTTGTTGTTTGTGTCAAATTGAACTTTACTGAATACATGGTTATTGCATTCTGGGGTGTACAACTGGGGTCATGCAATTGTTTAGTCTATGGCATTAGCTCTTTTATGCTGGTGTATTTCCAGCAGATGTTGTTAAGGAGGTACAAATGCTGTATTCTTGTACTGTATGTACAGGTAGCCACCAAACACTGCCTGAAAACTAGCTACACCTCTAGTCAGAGGTTTAGACACACCTTCATATTCAGTTCACTGGGAAAATGTCCAAACCTTTGACTGGAGGTGTAGCTACTTTTAAGGTGAATATAGTGTATATCTATGAGCAGCTTTTCTACACTTAAAATCTTAATGAATTTATCAGTATTTCATTTCCAAAGCTTTTGTGGCTGGGAGTTTCGTTTGTGCCCACAACAATTAATGTGTAAAGGCTACTACATATAACTCTCACTTACAATTATTGCATTTCCTGTCAAGATAGCTCACCAGCATTAGAAACTTAAATAGTTTTACTTTTTTGTTTAGTTATCCTGTCTCACAACATGCTGTATCTGAAATAACTTGATCGACTTGGTTCTCTCCTACATCTCTGTGTCACAGTTTGTATGACGCAGTGTCATCTCTGCTGAAGAACAAGATCCACAGATTGCCTGTAATCGACCCGCTGACTGGGAACACGCTCTATATTCTCACACATAAGAGGATTCTCAAGTTCCTGAAGCTTTTTGTAAGCCCTGTAGGCTTCTTTCCTTACCAGTATATTAAGTACCTTTTATAACCTACCGTGGATTTTTCAGTGTTTGAGTCTGAGAGTTACACTGTAGAACAGAGCAAGGACTATGGGGTGCAGTTAAAGAAACTGTTTATTTTTAAATGATTTCACAAACACATCCATTTCTGTACAGTTTTAACTGAGGATGTACAATCTGTTGTTTATTTATCCACCCCAGATATCAGAGATGCCGAAACCCTCGTTCTTAAGTCAAACCTTAGAGGAACTAAACATTGGAACATTCAAGAACATAGCGGTGGTCAGCAAAGACACGCCCCTGTACACAGCCCTGGGTATTTTTGTTGAACAGCGAGTGTCAGCACTGCCTGTTGTGGACGACAAAGGTGTGTGTGTGTGTGTGTGCTGGTTGAAAGGACGTCTTTGTTGAGTGACCAAACCTCTTGAATTTAGTTTGTTTATGTACTGATGTACTTTTTCTCTCTTGCAGGTCGTGTAGTGGACATTTACTCAAAATTTGATGTCATAGTAAGTTCTACCTTTTTTTGCTTATAAGCCAGTACAGTTTTTTTTTTTCCAGTTTTTTATACGGTATCGAGTAGGGCTGGATCTGTCTATTATATTCATTATTGATTAATGTGCTCATTATTCTGTTGATTAATCTGTTGTGATGCCTATTTCCTAAAGTCCAAGATATATTCAATGTACCTGTTTTATTTGACCAATGGTCTGAGTCTCAGAAATATCCACTTTACCAGCAGATATGACAAAACCTTAAATCATCATGTTGCAAATCAGTGCCTAGGACTGGCAGTTTTTAATTTATTGAAATTTCTTCTCCAATGTGATGGATTATATCTATCTTTTCCAAATGATTATGATTATACAGAACCTGGCAGCAGAAAAGACGTACAATAACCTGGATGTGACTGTGACCAAAGCCTTGCAGCACCGCTCTCAGTACTTTGAAGGAGTTTTGACCTGCCACAGACACGAGACCCTGGAGGCCATCATCAACAGACTGGTGGAGGCCGAGGTGAGAGCTGGAAGTCATGTGTCACCAAGCAGCTGTCTCTTGTGCCGCCAGTGTGTGTGGAATGAACTATAAACCTAAAAAAAAAAAAAACATTTGAAATGTTCCTCTGCATGTGAAGTCCTCAAGAAACCCAATCAAGTAAAATGTTATTTAACAGAAGAAAACCATGTGCATATACCTGCCCTTTGTGTGTCACAGCTACACAGGATTTGTGTTGCACAACTTTCTCCTGTTACCTAGAGCTCTTGGCCAGCAATCATGATATAGCCCAGTTCTCATTTGAATTATAATACTAAATACTAGCTTTGTCTTTTGTCAGCAGTCTGCTGTGTGGGCATCTTTATGCAGTTATGCATCACTTTTTCTGTACATTCTTTTAGGTGTGGTAAACATACTAATTTGCAGAAATAAAAGTACCATGGATGGCCTTCCTCTTTGTCCTTCAGGTACACAGACTAGTGGCTGTGGATGAACAGGATGTGGTGAAGGGAATTGTGTCTCTGTCAGATGTTCTCCAGGCATTAGTGCTTACCGATGGAGAAGAGGGTAAGTACAGTCACCTAGCTATCTAAGATTTTTTTTTTTTTTTTGAGTGTGTACATTTTTTTAAATAGAAGGAGCAGCAGATGAAAAATACAGGAAGTATTTAGGTAGAATTATAAACTAATCATTCACATTTATTTATGTCCATGGTAAACTTTGAGTGATGATTTGACTTTCCACAGGCACAGTTTGAGGAAGGAGCACAAGGAAACCATACATTGTTTTAAAAGGAGGCCAAAGCAAATGGAGAAACAGAACTGACATGCAAGAGGGGAATTAAGATAGTATGTTCTAGTATAATCATCCATATCCCTGTAACCAGATTTCATGTAATCACACATGTAATTAACTGCAGTTTTAGCAGCCCAGAAAGATTTAATTTTAGTACCACTGGCCATGCAGAAGCTTCTATAACATGAGCCTAGACAGATGTAAAAGCACAAGAAACCTCTGATGAGGAATTGCCGTATAGCAGCGTCATTCCCACCTTTGTGGCTGCTGTAGTGCCAATATACACAGTGCAGGACCATTAATTATGACTGATTACTAAGGTGTTCCTTATAATATAAATCTTTGCTAAATAAAATTAGTAATCAGTTTAGTAGCGAAAGGAAACCAGATACACCAGTATTGCCTTTTTTTTGTGGCATTTCTACAAGACTGAACTCTAAACACACACTGAGTCTATTTTTTTTAAACACTGTTTCACTTCAGTGTTGTGTGTCTGGCTTATTAGATATTTGTTCAAACCCTGATCTTTGCCCATGTATGTACTATGATATCTTGTTATTCTGTATTCAGTTAGCTTGATTATTTAAACATAGGTAGAGGACTGACAGCTACAGTTTCCCCATTTGCGAAGACATATTGATCTATACAGTATATGGTTACTTATGTATTTATCTGTATGTCATACATACTGCATCTACACACATGCTACCTGTGTGAAGTTTGTTGAATTAGCTTAATTTGTTGTTCAGTATACTCTCAAGACCTTGGAGATTGTTAGTAGTCTGCACTGATTCACAGATGTGAAATGAAAAGGGCCTGACCATGTTTTAACTTTTTAGCAAGTTATAACTTTTGCAGGTTTTAGCTTCAGGACGTTTTGCCCCCAGAATATTTTTGGATCAATTTTAAGGCCGTTTCCATGGACTGAAAAAATTGATTTAACCTGTTTGTCAACACTTAAATCAAATTATCACAGTTACCAGTGGTGAAGAATTCAAGCGCTCAGATTTTATTCTTTTGTGTAGCTAGACAGCAAAGTATCAAACCTTGAACAGTACTTAATACTCCCAAAACAATCACAGTGGTGAAGTCTAGAACATCACTGATAAATTTGCTTTAAAGCTATGTTTACATACTGTACAGTAAAGATTGCTGGTACAACTTCACCCACTGTACAAGGTGCACAAACAAGGGAAAAACAAACTGTAAAAACAAAAAGTCCAACACTTGCAGTGTTTTGAGTAATTTTAATGTGAAGCTGAAACACATTGGTCTTTGGTCTTCACATTAAAGTTGCTCAAAACACTGCAAGTGTTGCTGGACTTTTTGTTTTCCAAGCCACTTTCACATTACAGGCTTTAATGCTCAATTCTGATCTTTTTGTGTTGATAGCTCACATTTTTGTTTGTGACATGTATCCAGCTCCAGTGTGAACACTGTTGAGGTCCTATACTGTCAAACATCTGCATATTTAACTGGAATGTGACAGTGAGATAAAAAAAAAAACACATAAATTCCCATTGGAGTGTCCTGACAGCAGTCACATGATCAGAGATTGAATATGATTCAGATCTAGGATCACATATGCAGGTGGCACAGATCTGATTTGAAAAAAATATCTGACTTGGTTTGTTCACACATCTGTGAAAAGATCAGATCTGGGTCATTTGGAGGGGACACAATGGATTTGGGCCACTTCAGCAGGTTGTGTGAATGTGGCTTTACAGCCACACAGTTTCTGTGTGAGTGCATACTGTGGATATTTATGGGATGTTTTTGTCTGGATTGTTATGTATAAACAAATGTATAATGGACTGTATCCTGTATTCAATAGACAGCCTTTTTCTGCCCGCTTTGGTTTCCACACTTTTGTCACCTTTAGCATTAAAGAGGTGTGTTAATTCCTTCAGAGCTGCAAAATCGAACCTTTTTTGGAAAAGTGGTCCATCACTTGAAAACTAATGGTCATAGAAACACCTGCTTTGATTTAGTTGCTGTTGGTGTGTTTATGTGATCGCAGTTATAGTCGGTGATCACATCACATGTCAGAACATCAGCTGTTAAAGGTTTTTGCAACTGCTTTCCGTTCATTGTGTTTCTGGGTCTTTATCAGTCACTAAATACCAGCATTGCATCCTTTCCATTTTCTAAAGAGGATAGGACAAAGACTTCCTGTTTTGGTATGTATGAGTTGGAATGTGTACAACTGTATGTAAATCCACAGGTTTTGTACTACTCTGCATTGAAATCATAATTTAAAGAAGGTGCAATAAAGACAGTTTGTTTTAAATGGCACACATTTAAACTTTTTTTTTTTTCTTTCATCTTGTCATCTGACATTACTTGTGCCTAAAGATGTAACTGGGTAATTCTCTGCCTGTAACTGTAGGTTATCATTTAATAAAACAGTTTGTTTTTGGGGGGGGGGCTTATCAGTGAAAGTAAGGTGTAATCAAATGGTTGTCTTTACCCAACATGCAGATACGGAGCCATATTAGCATTCATTTAGTCATGTTTGTGGTTACCATATTAACTTAAGTGCAATACTGACTTTACTTTTATCACAGTTTTTGTCTTCACAAACTACTGAGGGACATAGCTGGCTGTTTTATCTTAAAAATCCTTTTTTTTTTCTTTTGAAAACAGCAGCTAGGTACAGTAAGTAGTATGAGTCAAAGCAGTTGTGGGTCAGAAGACAAAAACTATGACAATGCTCCTTCAGTCTGAGAGGAACTGCTGAAACTAGTGATAAATCATGTTTGTCATCACAAACTACCTTTTTCCATGTATTACTCATGTAATCCATTGTTTATATAAAAATATTGCATGTAGTCACTTTAACACTTTAAAAACAAGAAAATTAAAAGAAACCACACTACAGAAAAACAATTGTATTTATTACTCTACACTAGTGGTTACATGGATACAGTTTCTCTTTACTGGAGCAAGACCTGGGAGCTGTCACAGTCAGTAGTATAATACCTTAGTTCGTTGAGTCACAACACTGTTCTTCCCTATGGATACATAGAGCAAGGTAATACCTTTAAATACATTAGGTGTTTTTACATAGTAAGGCAGATATAACTGGACAAACATACCCATCGATGCATAAATATGGTTGACATTCAGCTACCTACCACAAAGTAGAGCTCTCCAGTCTTTCCAGCCAAAAACCACAGCATTAAGTTTAGTCTCTCTGTTCTTATAAACACCCTTATGAATTAAACGAGTGAGTAATTCAACATTAAAAAGTACTGGTCGGACACGTGTGAGACAGCACTGATATATTTCAGTAGTATTTTCAACATTTTTTTCCTCCTTGAGACCCAAAAAAGTCAGATTCTCACCACACTGCATGTGATTGGCATGATTTGTGTAAACATTCTCATTTCCAGTGGTGGGATCTTAAATAAACACTGGAGGCCACAGCCAGAAATGATTCCTAGAACAATTTGGTTTTAACACTGCGAGGTCAGTAGTAGTGCACATATGGCCTTTCAGGCCTTCACAGGGAGTCACAGCATACACATAACGTGGGAAACACTATACACACAAGTAGTACCTGTTGAATTGGAATACAAGTAAAGACAAAAGTGCACCTGTTTCCTGAAAACAAACATGTAGACAGCGATTTCTGATAATCTGAAGAAAATCACATACAGTATAAGTTGCACATTGAGGAGGTGTTGTGTAGTGACTTAAAAGAGCTGTGAGGGGAAACATTTAAAAAAATCAAATACTGCTCTGAATAATAGAGAGCTGAAAGAAATAGGAACACAAACAGTGTGTCTGACATACAGTAATGTTAACTCAGATGTCAATTTGTAGATTGGTACACAAGTGTTTTCAAACAGCAATATTTTTCCCCAACAACCAAAAAAATCAGTATAAAAGACTGAACCATCTAAATGACCCCAGTATCAATGTAAAATCAAATGTAACTGTCATATACAGTGTACACAAGTATCACTTTAAAAAGCTAGTTTATGTGCAATAGTTATACTTGGCCAGGGAAAAAGCACCCTGAGGGAAATGAACATTGGACATGCTGTGACAATATAAAAAATGAATCTAAATATCAAACTATTCCTTGAGTTAGCATATTTCAAAGTGAAAAAAACACAATACAATACAGCCTTGTATTTAATGTCTGGTGTAAATAGTCCTGGTTGATGCAAAAGTTTATCACAATCTTGTGTATACCAGCTTATCTAAGGAAGTGGAGCCAACGTACATGCTCATGACAGGTGATGCTCTATCAGTTGATTGAGAGAGCAGCTGAATTCAGAATCATATGCCAACATTTAAACATGCTACGTATACCATGATGCAACATGCTGCATGTAGCATTTTGTATCAGCAGCGTCCTGATCTGAAGCCAGCGAGTGTCTTAGCTGAGATGTCCACACAGTGTTTAAAGCCACTGGCAACTAATGCTCTATAGATTTAACCCTCCATCCTAGTGAAATGTATTTTGTTTAATAATTCCTAAATATGTATTTTATTTAAGCTGATTTTGAACAGAGAAAAAGAAGAGTTTATTGATTAATAAGAATAAATTAAACCTGAGGTTTACAGCAATGGGAAAAGCTCCAGACAAATGGTTCAAATTATTATAATAAAATAAAATCATGTATGGCAAAGTGCTTTAATGCTCTAGTGGCTCTGTCTCCAAGCAACTTACCGAATGTCAGTGGGCTGCATCTACTGAACTGCCACTACTGCTTTGTACATGCTTAATATGGCAGTCAGCATTTAAATAAGCCATGCTGCTGTTCTGTAGAAGAAGCAGATGGATTATTGTGTTTAAAGGATTTCTAAGCAGTTCATGATGTGCATGTGTGCTGTAGGCATGGCACAGGGAAACCCACTCAGCAGCCACATTAACACCCATACATTACATCTAGTAATTTAAGTAACAGAATGAGTAAAAATGTGTTTGACACGCCGACCCGACCCGACCCCCCCACCCCCCACCCGCTCCCCTACAAACACAATGAATTAAGCAACTGTAATCAAAGAGACTTTAAAATATCAGCAACTCATTTTTAAAATATTAACTGATTAATTACATATCCTGCTATTGATTCATACAAATGCACAAGAAATCCAAAGGTCCTTGTTAGTAGGGAGCGCACAGAGGAATGAAAAGGTTCAGGTAGGGCAGCAGTAGCTGAGGCAAGACAGGAAAGGTGTTCTTGGTAGTTTGGCTGGGTAAGCGAGGTAGGGTTTGTCAGAAATCATGTGGCTTCAAAACTGGCAGGAGTGTATATGGACTAATATTTTACAAAGTGCCACTCTCTATATTCTCTTTCTTTGTGCGTTCTTTGAAGAAGACCCGGTGCCTTCCTCTTGTTGTCCTGCAGCCTTGAGCCGGATCCTGCTCAGTGTTCCTTCGCGGTGCTCTGCTGATTTCGCTCAGACTTTAATGTCCTCTTGAATGCTGAGCTGGGACAGGGTCTTCTTGATGCGCAGGGCTGTCAAGCGGGCAGCTCCGTTAGCATACCAACACTCCCTCATTATTTTTCCCATGACCCGCAAGGCCTGGAAAAACAGGAGGAAAAAAGTGCATATTTCATTTTAAATGGATAAAACTGCCACTTTAATCCATCAGTCTACACTAAACTAGAATAACATTGTCCTTGAATCCAAGTGGACATTTGTGCTGAGTTTCAATAAATTCCCTCTGAAACAGGCTTTCTTGAAGGACATCTCTGTATTTCGCTGCATTCATCCTCCTCTCAATCCTGACCAGTTTCTCTGTCGCTGCCATTGAGAAGCACACCCACAGCATGATGCTGCCACCACCATGACTGACTGTAGGGATGGCAGACCCTGTGCTTGGAATTCTGTCCAAATAGTCCAATTTTTGTTTTGTCAGAGCAGAGAATCTTTTCTCTTATGCTTTCACAGTCCTCTAGATCCTCTGTGGCAAACTCCAAGCCAACCTACCATAAAGGCCTGACTGACTGAATGGTGCTGAGATGGTTGTCCTTCTGACAGGTTTTTCCTTCTCTTCAGATGACTTCCAAAGTGACCATTTGGTTTTTGATCACCACCCTGACCAAGGCCTTTCTTGCCTGGTTACTAAATTTGGCCAGATAATCATCTCTAGGAACAGTCCTGCTGGCTCCCAAGCTCTTCCATTTCACCACTGGTGTGAAAGGGTGCATACTGAGGGTGCAGCACACTAGGGCCTGCTGTGTCTAAAGGGCCCATATGAGAAGGGTTTCAATGTCTGCTTATTTATTCATGCAATTGTCAAACTGACCTTTCAGGAACACCAAAACAGATGGTTCTCATAGCCATGTATGTCACTTTCTCACCTTGTGTATAATACTTATGAATCATAGCCTGTTTTGAGTGTGTTTTCTTTTAATTGTTGCCCTTATTTAATGTTCCTAAATTGTATGTTTTATTTAAAGTATGTTTTATTTATTTAAACTGCAGTTTAGTTTAGTATTATTTATAATTCAGTTGCTGAGGAAAGAGCCATAAATCTAACAGCGCTGCTCAAATTCAATGCCTTCCTGGGCGCAAAGCCCGTTGGATGCGTCTCTTTCTTATGGAATTGGATCAGGGATTTAAAAATGCACACCTACTGTAATCTCTGTCTGTGGTAACATTTTGGCTGCTGGTAGTGTTATGTATGTTGAATTCTGTCCTCATACTGTGAAGCTCTATAATGAGTTGCTGTGCTTTTCTTGATGGCTCTTTGTTCTATGCATATAGACATACAGTATAAGCTACCTTTGTATTGATTTGTTAGTGTAGACTGGTTGAATATTTCAGATGTTTGATAGTTGGAGAAATCAGGCTGTGGAGATTAGAGTCCAGGGTAGGCAGCTGGTTAACCTAGATTAGCTGCTGTCTGTGGCGCTGATCATTGGCTGGTTTTCATGATGGGACTTGCATGGTAAGCCTCTCCTTTGTATGCTATGCAATTGTCTGGAGCGGTTGGGTGTGTGTGTCCGTGCATGCGTGTGCACATGAAAGTGCACGTGTATTTGGGACAGGGGTGGGGCATGGATTAAAATTTGTACTGAGGCCCATTACGGTTATGTTAAGCTACTGCATTAGTTATTAAAGTCACTGTCCTCCTGGGAACATATAAAGTTTGGAAATGGTTTTACACCGTTGCCCTGATCTACAGTATGCCTCGCCTTTTATGGCAGAGCCTACTGAGAATTTACTGAACTTCAATATTTACCTGTGGGTCCACAGACTTCTTTTTGCTTATGTTGTAGTGTTCCTAGATGTAACTTATTATTACCAGTAGAAATAAGGACCAAAGCTACAAAGACACGATCCAGGTTATAATAAACTAGAATTACCCTCTAAAACAATGCAGATATTCAAGAGTAACAAGAGGTTAACAATTAATTCCATTTTTATACCTCATAGCTCTGCCACCAATTTGGGATGTTGGGCCGTAGTTTTTGGTCACACACCACCTTTCTCATTTCCTCTATGGAAGGGTCAGAAGGTACCAGGTCATAGTAGGGCAGCTGGTACTCTTCATGGATACCTGACAGAGACACAGATGAGCTTAGATCAGCACTGTGACCTCAGTTGCTACCTGTGAGAAAAACAAACACTGATCCGAGTATCCAGAATGAAAACAAAAAGAGTCTGACCTCCACTGTTACAGCGGCGTGCGATCTCCCAGTAGACGAGCCCCAGCGCATAGATATCAGCACATTTGAACGAGTCAAAGTGTCTCATATTGATAGTCTCATCTAGAACCTCTGGAGCCATGTATCTGTGAGATGCAAAAACAATCTCAGGTGGGAATTATGCACAGAAATAAAGGATATTCTGGGAAAGCTGTCAAAGATATCTGTGAGAAAGGACGGTGGGCACACACCTCTTGGTTCCCACCCTTTGATTGGGGGCAATGTCGATTGTATCAGTGGTAGAGTCATGACGGACAGCCAAGCCCAGATCAGCAATAGCACAACTGCAGTTCTTCTTCACAAGGATGTTCTTGGACTTCAGGTCTCTGTGGGCAATGCCTGGCTTTCCTGTCAGGACAAAAATGTACATCACTATCACTTGTGAATTCTTATTTCTATATCCAGTTCATTTTCTAACATATTAATGTCAACTTTGTACTGGATATGAGACAACAAACATATTGTCTTGGCCATGCTAAATATATAATTTATATGGTTCGAAAACAATTTGTGGCATTTAGCAACTTGCACATTCAGCATATCAGTGTTTCTGACAGGTACATCCTCATTTAAACTCTTTCAAGCTGCCAGTTTGTAACTTTAGGTATTCAGACACCATTTCCACAATAAAAACCATCTTCAAGAACATACATTTTATCTACACTTTTATTATGGTCATTGTTAAGTACGTTACAAACATATTATGTTAACCACACAATCTTTTATTGTAGATAACATCCAGTCAAATTTTCCATACTGTTGGGACACATTCTGTTTGATTACTCAACCCAGTTGCATCAGAGCCTTATGGTAAATGGCAAAGATCAGTTTGCAGTTGTTTTGAGAGGCTTTGTGTCTGTGGGTGGGGCAGGCAGAAAATTTATGCAACCATTATAAATAGTGAAAAGTCATTGTTGATAAAAGCATTTCTTGGTTCATCCAATTATTTTCAGATGGTAAACTGAGCCATAGCCTCTTTTTTCTGTTGTAGTGCAGTTCAAACTCTTGGTTTTATGTTTTCCTTTTACCACTAAAAGGTATAGAACTGGGTAAAAGAAAAGAATGATAACATTCCAGTAAAACATTTTATAAATTTATAAAAGAAAAACAACATAAATGTGCTTTCTCTGCGTAGCTTCTATGTGGAAGCATCACCATTTGACAGAAGCCAGGAAAGATGAAGCAGTACTTAAATACAAATGCATATTTGTACAAACAATACCTTGCGTTCCAAGAATCTCCATGTGCAGATGTGCCAGGCCGCTGGCAGCTGATAGTGCCAGTTTGATCATTCCCTCAGTAGTGACAGAGTAGTGGTTTAGGTAGTCAAAAAGAGACCCGTGCTCATGGTAGTCTGACACCAACCACAGCTGGGTCCATGTGCCATTGTCTGAGCAAGAGACAGAAATGTAGACGATGTAGAAGAAATCATAAGTTTACATACCATCAGAATGATTACACAACAAATAAATCAGTACCCCCCCCTGCAGTAAACTATAACTATAAACTACAAAATTACACATTGTGATGTTACAGGTATGCACCTTTGTTGTCAGCTGCTATAAAGCCTAGGATGTTCTCATGGCGGAGCATGATGGTCTGATAGATTTCAGCCTCACGGAACCAGGAGCGTTCCTCTCTGGATGAGAAGATCTTCACCGCCACATCGCCACCCCTCCAACGCACTCGCCACACCTCCCCAAAACGCCCCTTTCCAATGATCTCCTGCAGGACAATAGTTCTGGCCACGGTCCGCTGGACGAACAGAGGCAAACCTGTTTAGGAAAAATGAGAATGGAGACTAGTCATTTATCTTCTTATATGAAAGTGGTCTAAAAATGCCAAAATTTGTGTTGGCCTGCAGATTTATTATCATGCTGTGCACTGACCAGAACCTGAACCAGATGTGGACAGATCATAAATCAGGTCCTGCAGGGTCTTGTCTTTGGCCAGGTAGAGGTGTTCACAAGAGGGGTCTTCCACCTCAAGCCTCTGTCTGTGGTTGTAGGCTCTCTGGTGGTACTGATACAGGAACACACCCACCAGCAGCATCAGACACAGCAGGAACAGTGGCCCTACAATCACAGCCACCAGTTCCACCAGCCCCCATGTCCCACCTGGTCCATAGCCTCCACCCAGTCCTGACGAAGTCGTTACTGAAAATGAAAGCAGCAGAGAATGTAACACTGACAGCAAGTGCACACGAGACTGACTTCTTTCCCCATTATGAACAGCTTTACATCCTTGTGGGATATCAGTGTAAATACTTTGTCTAAGCTAACATTTAGAAAGCTGAGTCAACACTTGACTCTTACATTAACCTACATTGATTATTCCCAGTTGTTTCACAAAGACTCAATTCTCAATACTGAAGGGCTTTTACTGTGAAAATCAGCAACAGAAAGTGTTGAACTTACATTAACAGCATACTAATACTGTTAAAGAGCTGCTTACTCTCTCACCAGTGCTTTGTCTTTGTGATGCTTACACTTGGTTGTGGTTTTCTCCTCAACTCCGTCCTTCATTTAGATACATGAATGTAACAAATGAACAATGATCCTTGTAGTTATTTCTGTTTAAATACATTAAAATCTTTTACACCAATTTCAATATACAGTTTTTCACAGTTTGCAGTTGAGATGAGTAGGTTAAAATAGCATTAATTTTGCTTACACCAGGCCTCTAAACTGCTGTTTTTGGGTTAAAAACGTCTGTTTTTTTTGTCTCTGTGGATGTATATTGTCTACAATTTAATGTCAGTTCCATGATAACACTGTTGGCTCCACATATGCTGTGCAAAATATTTTAGGATACTGTACTAAGCATTTCAGGAACCACGAGTCACAAATAGAATGTAGACATTTTTTCCACAGGCACTGAGACACTTTAGATAATATCGCAGACATTGTATGAATATGCCTGTTACAAATAGGTCTCTCATTTATTGCCAGGGGCTAAGTTTGATTTGATTTGATTTATTCTTTCATGCATGTAAAGACAGTTGATATGTCAACACACATAATTTTACACATATCCAACAAATGCTAATCCAATATCAATTTGCTTATACCTAGTACATGCTTGAATGGAGTAGGAAGAAATCAGACTTATCCAGTCCTACCCCATGACATCATCTTACCATCATTGGTTTACAAGCAGTATCTCTACATAAATAATTCTCTTCTACACCACACAAGTAATATACTAAAAAAATTATAACAGAGTGTTAACATTCTTACATAATTACATTCTTAAATAATTCTCTTCTACATGACACAATATACTAAAAAATTATTACAGAGTGTTAACATTCATACACCACACCCACAATGTTCCATCTAATTAATCATTAAGCCTGTTCTTGCATATATCTTGATTGACACATACCTTTATATTTACGTTTAAACTCATCAATTCTATTACTATTTCTTAAGTCCACACTTAAATTATTCCATAGTTTTACCCCACTTATGGAAATACAAAATCTTTTTTTGGTTGTACGTATAGCATGAATTTTTAAATTTAACTGACCCCTTAAATTGTATCCCCCTTCCCTTTCATTAAATAGTTTTTGAATTCCACCAGGTAATAAATTGCTCCTGGCTTTATACATAAACAC